TGACATTTTTTCCAGAATTTTTTAACTTCTCCGTTGTTTTTCCTTGTCTCCAACACGAAAACCCTATTAGTGAAGATGTTTTCTGTTGTGCATTTTTTCATTTGAAATAAACAAACTACATCTATTTGTTACGATTAATTTAATGGCTGATCAAGTTCAAGGTCAATTCAATGCAGTCTAAATGTCAACAAGCGAAGCGTATACACCATCTCAATATGGGCGGAGCGTTGCATTGTTTATCCGATATTATTGGATAATACACGTCACGCGTATACTTAACTTCATTTGCATACGCTAAAACGGTATGGGAAATAGAGTTTTTCACACGTTTATTGATGTGTTTTGATTGCTGACACTTGTGACATAACGAGGTGGCGTTCTCTAAAAACACAATTACTTGACAGGTAAAAGTGGTCGTTTAATGAAAAGATTGATGTCAATTAGGTGACTAATTAGCGGTCGCTGGTCGCGTTGAGCAAAAGTCGCTTAATACATTAAAGATATAGAGAGAAAATGATCGGGGGGAATTTAAAGTGGTCGTTTAAGACAAAAGTCGCTTAATACACGTGGTCGCATGGGCAAGTTAGACTGTATATACATCCATAACTTTCTTCGTAAAACATATGCGCCTAAAACTCTGTGCTCTTCGCCTCATGTTTTGTTTATGTCAACACACGCCGATTACACAAGCAAATTTATGCCTAAAATTGTTTTACTTCACTATAACTCATATCTGAATCTTTACTTTATTGTCTTAACCTCATGATACCGGACCGACACCTGTGAAAATATCTTTGAATCTTGATAAAACTTAGTAAATAACAGAGGCGACATTTTTGATAACTGAACCCGTCTTGCTAAAACAATTTTAATGATCTGTACCCTACTTGCGTTTTCACTGAACCATTACTTGCGAGTCACTTTTGATGATTTTTATTGTGTTTTTATTGTATGTTCCAAATTTTATTGAGCAGAATATGAAGTTATTGTGTCACAAGAGCATGGTACATGTTTTAGTTCTATAATTAAGTAACTAAAACTTCATATGAATGGAGCTTCATCATGTTTTCACTGTCTACGAAAATATCAGCATGAAGTGGCTGGTAATACGAATCAGAAAGTCAATTATTTCTTGATAGGAATAGTTAACCAACAAACTTCATCTTCACTTACCATTCATATTTCTTTGGAAAGATATAAAGCTAAAATATTACATATGTACTATAAATTTTTTACATTTAGTTCAACGGCATTGTTCGTTTTGACGTGACCGTTATATAACGTCACGTATCAAAAAACTTCGAAATATCAATACAAGATTTTTTGCAGATAACTTATTTCAACATGTTGAAAGATTTACAACTTCTGTTGATTTCATTCTGCTTTTTAAAACACGGTTAAAATTATATTCTCAGAAATTCATTGACTTTCTATTTCTGACATGTACGACTTTTATTCTTGTTTATCTTTCATAGGCGTCGACAATTTTGGCATCTTTTTAAACGGAGAATATTCGGGAATTTTTTAAAATTTTAATTGTCAGTGTTTCAGCTATTGGTGTTATAAACTTCTTTTTTTCTTTTACGCTGTTGGCTGTGACGCTGAAAGTTTTTAAGTAGGAAATTTTATTCTGATCATTATTTATTCTTATTTTCAAGTTGCAGTCTAGATGGCGAATAATTATTTGGTCAATGATGGCATTGAAATTCGTATACAGTCTTTACTGAACAGTATATGCAGTTGTGTTCTTCCATGATGATATGAAAGAAAGATATACATAACATTATATATTTTAATAAACAAATGATTAACAATAGTATCAGTTTTTCGGTAAATACCATAGATCCCACCTTATATACTAAAATTCTATTACAATCATTTATACTTTCTCGCAATAATTGATACAAAATCGCAATAAACGTAAACGTTTTCTCCAATAAATCTTTAAAAATACTCACAAGTCAGGGTACAGATAAAATTCGTAAACTCACAAGTAGGGTTCACAATCACCAGCAAGTAACGTTCAGTTTACGGAAATGACCTCCTTGGTAAAACTCTTAAATTTATGTTCAAGATACAGCACTGTTTTTTGCAGATGACTAAATTATCGTTTGTTATTGATTACTTTAGTAGTTCGATATCACAATTCAATGTTTAATAAATCAACCTTGGAATAAGACAGATTTTTGTTCGTGTTCAGTGTTGATCACATGAAAGCTGTTCGTGAGTTACGATTATTTTAAAGCCTTCGTGCTAACGTTTATGTTTTGCATAACTTAGACGTTTAAGAAAGTTTCTCTCTTACAATATAAATATAAATTTACTAACCTAACGTTCATCAGTATCAATATAAATACCAATATCATAAACAAGTGAAGTGGCAGAATATGGCTGACACTAAAATCTTCTCACAAGATCCGGTTGGGGTTCAAATCGTTTATATACTGTGACACTGGTCCGATTACACAGGTGACACAGGTTGATACACAGGTGCATTCTGGTCAGACTGCTCAGCTTATAATGCTGGTATGTCCAAAAATTTAGAATGAAAACGTCAAAACAAGCGTTTTTTTTTATGCCCCCGGGCATATAGTAATTGAACCGTCCGTCCGTCTGTCCGAGCACACGAGAGGGTATATGTTGGGTACTAAATACCCAACAACTACCAATCCTACTCACTCCGTATGTATTGTTGGGCATTTTTAATGAATTTTGATGTATTGTTGGGTACTTTTTTTACACAATAAAATACCCAACAAGAATACAAATGTAAGGACGTCCGCCTGTTTGTACGAGGTTAACCAAGAATGGCAAGTTGGATTTTTCTGAGGTTCTACCTGTACTAATGGCTTCTTAGTTTACACACTTACTAAACTAAAAGTTACATAACTCTGGCTTTCATATTTACCAAGTTATTGCCCTTTTCAGCACTTAAAACGGCAAGTTGGAAATATCTTAGGTTCTATCTATACTAATGGCTTTATAATTTCCACACTTACTTATCAATACAAAGTACATGATATTGCCAAGTTATATAACTGTGTCATCCATATTTCCCAGTTATTTCCCTTTTTTCACTTAGAAAATAGGGCCTTGTCTGGTTAACCTATTTCGGCAAGTTGGATTTATCTTAAATTTCTCCTAATAGCTTAATTTCTTTAATGATATCTTTCATATTTAGTAGGTGGATACCTTTGATGGTCCTCTAATTTTTTGTGGAGTAAGCGGTCTCTAGGGTCAAGGTCACTGGTTTGAAAAATAAATATACACATTTTTGCTCATACAGCCTTTATTTTTTAGTTGATGTCTTAGTTTAATACAAACATGCCAAGGGAGGTCCTCCTTCTTTGGGTGTAGTAAGGGGTCATTTGGGTCAAGGTCAATGTTACCAATGTCAAGGTCACCAATGTTAAATATAGATTTTTACATTTTTACAGGTGTATTAACCTTATTCTATAGACAGATGTTATTTATAATTGATAGAAACATAAAATTTGATGGAGTTAGTGGTCAGTTGGGTCAAGGTCACCAGTGCTAAAAATAATTTTTTACACATTTGCTCATACAGCCTTTATTAAGTAATAGATATATTTTATCTTTGGTAGGAAGATAACTTGCATGGTATTCATCCTTTTGATTTGGGTAGGGAGTTACTTGTGCTAAAAATAGATTTTTACACTTTTGCCTATACAGCTTTTATTTATTGACAGATGTATTTCATATTTGGTAGGAAGATAACTTGCATGGTATTCTTCCTTTGGATGGAGTAAGGGGTCAGTTGGGTCAAGGTCACCAGTGCTCAAAATCGATTTTTACACTTTTGCCCATACAGCCTTTATTTAATGACAGATGTATTTCATATTTAGTAGGAAGATAACTTGCATGAAGTTGAATATTTTTTAACTTCACAAGTCAGAGCAATGACTTGGCAACTTATATTTTTCACAATTACAAAATGCCATGACTTTGTCAAGCTATATAACTTGTGTTTACAATTTTTTGGCAATTTTTCTGTCCATAACTGAGTGAATGGGTAAACATTTTTTTGAAATATTGCTACTGACAAGAATCTGAGCCGAGGGCATTTGTGTTTAACAAACACATTCTTTTTTTTTTTTTTTTCTTTTTTTTTTTGAGAATTAGAATATCTTTCAAAACTGCTGATAACATTAAGAAGACAATAAATTCTGGAAATCAGTGATTTCATGGCCAATTACTCTATATATAGACATAGACATGAAATAATAACAGAATAATTAGATACACTCCTGTCAAAGTCTTCCCTTGAAATAACCTTTATTCTCTGTTGGATGATTTAAAATGGTATCAATTAAGGCAATTTGTAACCTCTATGTGAACTTTCTTCTCTATGAAATCTCATTATTTGAATATAAAACTGTAGTAAATAATAAGAGTTGCTGACTTTTCACATTGTTTTTAGCTCTACTTTTTCACTATTATTTTTGGAGAAGGTGAAAAATATATATGTAGAAAAAAGATAAATAGAGGATATTCAAGCTTTTTCCATAAATACATGATTTATTTTCATCGAGTGGTATGAAAATAAATATTTCATGAGTGGCAGTAGCCACGAGTGAAATATCGTAATTTTCATGCCACAAGATGAAAATAAATCATGTATTTATAGAAAAAACTTGAATTTTCTGTTTATTATATACATTTTTCTCTTTTTTGACATTAAAATTGAAAAGACTTTTCCTTAAATTTTGTGTACTGGCAGAATTTAAAAGAAAGTAGTCCGGCAAGATACCAGTGAAAATACGGAAAATATGTTTCACTGCAGTGAAAAATAAATTTTTACAGTGAAAATACGGAAAATAAAAATACGCATTTTATTTCATCAATATTTCTCAATATTTCATTTATAAGTATATAATAAATCATTTTCTTAATTCAGTAAACTTTATTTTGTAGAAAGCACCGGCAAGTATTTTTGCAAATGTGGAATACAAAATATTATGTAGATCACTGCTTGGGTGGGGGGGGTAATATTGAATGGCCCCTCATATAGAAGAGAAAAAGTCCTGATAATTATTCATTCTTCTTAGTGTATTTTACATTGTTGCTGCTTGTGCTTTATTAGGAGGTTCAGTGAAATGCAGGTTCCTAAATTAACTTGAATAATTGACTTATGGTTTTCAGTATAAAAATAGAAAACTTGAGCTATCAACAGTAGAGTGTGATGGTTTGACTACTGGTTTATCACTTATTCCAGTTCTAGCAGGTTAAAGGTTAAGATGAATATGACAACAGTTAAAGCTCCATGCCTCCAGATTAATGCTAATTTTTTCGTAAAAATTTTGAAATTGTATTTAAGAGTAAAATATTGTCAACTGTAGTAATAAATACTTCAAAATCAGTTATTAATTACATAATAACATGTTAATTATTTTTGGAATTTTGATATTTTTAATTTTCTAAAAATCTTTGCACATTTTTCCTCAAGATGATTTTCTTAAAATATTTTGGCTCATTTGGAGGCATGCAGCTTTAACATTGAATTAATTGATACAAGGCAATTTTGCATTGTTAGTGAAACATCTTTTATTATGTTACATAATTAAGTTGTTTTCTTCTCTTATGACAAACAATTTATGAACATGTTATATTGGTTTATAATTTAGTTATGTCACTGTTTTCACTTAGTTCATCATCTTCAGAAACTGTTGTTATTATGGATGCTGTTGCACACAACTGTTGTCGTCTATAATCAAGCGAACTTGTTTTCCCATTTTTGGTTCCTTTATCAAAACCTCGCGTTCCTTGAGTTTTACCATTACTTAATGATTTCTCTCGATTAATACTGTCTCTGGAATCATTTGTTGCGATGCTGTTCACTCGCGACCTTTGCAAAGATCCTTGACCCGAATGTGTCCCGTCCGAACTTGTGTCGTTGAACATGTTCTTAAACAGTGGCATGTTCATTGTGCGGGAAACTTCCCGCATGACACGCTGTATTCGGATTGTTCTATAGCTGTGTATAAAGGCACTCATAAATGACCGCAATAAAAACATTGGAAGGAAAAATATTAGATTAATGTGAGCCATTTCCGATACTTTATGTCGTTCATTAATGAAATAAAAAATTATATAGCTGATGAATGGTATGTAACATATTGAAAGAATAATGATATCGTTTCTGATAGTTGCGATTAATTGCGTGTATTTTTGGTATTCAAGGCACCGCGGTGATATGAATTCATTATTGCATTCGATTTTTTTATGAGTTCGGTATAAAATCCCTTGCATTACGCAGCTTCCGGCGATGCACAGTAACCATAGCAATGATATGAAGAACACATAGTGTATACTGTAGTAGTTAAAAAGATTGCAGACGAATTCTTTATTATTCCAACCCATCTGCGGTAAAAAGCCAATAATGAATGCTGCATTCCATAGCACCATCATTGCAATTATAACACTATGTTTGTCCACCCGGTAAACCAGCGGTTTAGTTAAACGTAGGTACGAGTCTACATTTAACCAGAATAACGTCAAACAGATGGTCATAGAAGCAGAGATGAAAATACTTTCTGGTAAAAAGCAGTTTATCAGCCGATTGTCGAGATTCAGTAACAGTATGCATTTGAAAATTCCAAAATTTCCAACCAACATGTCCGCCACACACAAGCTCCGTATAAACACTAAAGTTGAACTTTTCCCGCCAGTAGTGAATTTTGACGCAAGAAGTACAACACAATTTACAAGCACTGTTAATGCTGAGAATACAATGATTCCATTTAGAATGTTTGAACTTGTTCCGTAATCAAGTCCATAGAAAGTAAAATCCGACAAATTTTGTTCACTTTCTGCGTAGTATGAAGCATTTGTATTATTGAAGATGATGCTGTCTGCATAATTAACTTCTGTTGTTTGGAAATGTGCCGATGAATTTTGATGAGTCGTCAAATTGAAAATATTTGGAAGCGTTGTAGTAAAATTTGAAGATAACGAAATATTCTTCATCTTACATCTTTATATTGATTCTTCAATGTACACCTAGATTCTGTGTCAACCTGAAATGAAGTGGTAAAAAAAAGTTTTACTACAATTGTATCATGATCAAAAGGCATATCTTACTATAACCCTTCTGAACTTGTGAAATGAACTTGTCACGTTTTGAATTTAGACCAGTCCATTTTTTATTACAGGGATTTCATAGTATCAGAATGATAAAAATGATCAAAACGACCATTATTGAAATTAGTAAGGAGCCAAGTTTAAATACCTTACTGATTTAGGGTACTGGGTCCCTACAGATGGCGTGGTTATGTGAATATTTGCCAATTTACATATTAAGCACTAAATAAAAACATGGCAGATAAACCTGAATGTTTTTGTCTTTCATCTGATTGATTAACCTTTGGTGTGTTTACTTTTAGATAAAGATGCAACAGTCAGTTACAGTAAAATAAGTTGGTGATTGTATGTCATATTCATTCTCAAAAATTTACGAAAATATTAAGTACCATGGTTTCTAAGGGCGTGACAGCCCTATGTAATCCATGAACACTTTTTTTAACAAATAATAATTTATTTTTAATTTTTATCCTTTATGGAACCAATTTAAAATAGATTTGATTTAAAAACATGTTTTCCATATACATGTTAGAAAAGCAACAAATTGTTTATAAATTTCCAGTCAAATTAATCCGACTGCTGCAGTTCACCTGTACCATTCTAATGAGACAAATTTTATCAATTTCAGATTTTTGAATGATAATTTAGTATCAGTTTTCTTTTAAGGCAAATAATTTAATTGTTTGAAATAAATTTGAATTAAAAACATGTTTTAATGTTAGAAAAGTGACAAATGTTAATAAATTTCCTTGTAAATTTCAAAAAAGATGTAAGAAGAACAACAACTTTAAAAAAAATCACCCAAAAAAACCCCTCAAGTCTGCAAACAAAAGCATTACATCATTTCAGGATCACATTGCAGCATAATAATACTCTGTCTGTAGAAAAAGTAGAATTTATAGTTTGTACAAAAAGTTTCAATATATGATGTGATTAATTTAAAGAATGAAAATGTCTGTCTTGAATGAAAATAGAATAATTTTGTTGTTTTTCTTATTACATAATTATATTTTGCTAAACAGTTCAGGGATGTATAATACAAATAATTACAGGAATGTTGTTCTTAATTTAAATCCGAAAATAGAATAATTTAATCCTTTTTTCTTTACAAGAACTTCGTAATTTTATCATTTTTATCCACACAAGAAGTGTGGTGTGTACTTCCCTTGGTCACAAATTCAAATAAATAATTTCCTTATTTACATCCAAAATACATTTCATTATTTATGTATATTTCCAGTTATTAAAACAATTCATAAAAAAACTAATTTATTGATAGCTTCCAATGATTGGAACAATTCACAAAAAATACCGTTTCAAATTATTGAAACAATTCACAAAAATAACCATTATTTATTAAATGTTTCAAATTATTGAAACAGTTCACAAAAATTTAATGTTTCAAATTGTTGAAACAATTAATAAAAAATACTGGTTATTTATTAAATATTCCTAACTATTAAAACAATTCATGAACAAATCCTCCAAGAAATAAAAAAATGTACACTACTGTTGTATTAAAAAAACAAGATTAGCAAATTTATAAAATCAAAAACCTCCTTTAAAGAAGAAAATCCTCGCTTTAACTACTGCTATAGAAGAAAAATTCAGAAAAGTTCACAATTTTCCCTCGTCAATATATAAATAAAACATCAGTTAATTGATTCCATTATTATACAAATGAATGAAATGACGGAGTAACAAATTCATATATCAAACAAAAGCACTGAGTCGGAAATAACATAAATCCACAACTGATTAGCAATTCCATGTTTTAAGTACCGTTTCTGCATTTTGAATAACATAAACCATTTCAGAAATTTGAGTCCTGTTTGAATTAATAATTTCAGTGTTGGAACAAAACACACTTGCGGCTATTTGTTTTCCCATTAAATTTTAATAATGGAAAATTATCCAACTCACTTTTTTTGAATGATTTAATAATCTCGTATGTTATTGTTATTATCTCGACATGGACACGATTGTTTTCAAATCGGATACTCGCACAAGCCCCGCTTTAAAACAACAATGATGTGTTACTCCCACTGTTAGTTATGCTTTTGAGAAATTTCCGTGCGCAATTGAATCATTTATATATAAGAGCATGGTTTGAACATGTTTAATTATGATAAACTGGAATAATTCAGTTAATCTAGCTACAACAGAAGGCATCATCGGCATTAGCAACAGCAGAAGTTTTCATTTATTCATAGGAAATTTCATGCATTCTTGAGATGTCTTAAATACAGTAGTTTTATCGGTTTTATATGAATGAAATGAAATAAATGTAATGGTACAGCATATGTTGCTGATTTGTAAGCTATTTAGAATGCCAGGGTTTATGGTGCTACAAGGTATGTAATGGAAGGAATTTTAGGAAATATTTTTTTTGTAGCCTCCTTTTGATGTGTCACATACCCCTAAGCCTGCTGAATATTTTTAAAGCAATTTTTATGCCCCCCTTCGAAGAAGAGGGGGTATATTGTTTTGCTAATGTCGGTCTGTCTGTCGGTCTGTCCGTCGGTAGACCACATGGTTTTCGCTGATTATCTTGAAAAGTATTAATCACAAAGTCTTCATATTTCACATGGTGATTCCGCTGATTATCTTGAAAAGTATTAATCACAAAGTCTTCATATTTCACATGGTGATTGGCCATAACTAGTAGATGACCCCTATTGATTTTGGGGTCACTAGGTCAAAGGTCAAGGTCACAGGGACCTTAAATGTCAAAATGGTTTCCACTGATTATCTTGAAAAGTATGTATCAAAAAGTCTTCATATTTCATATAGTGATTGGACAACACTAGTTGATGACCCCTATTGATTTTGGAGTCACTAGATTAAAGGTCAAGGTCACAGCGACCTTAAAATGTCAAAATGGTTTCCGCTGATTATCTTGAAAAGTATTTATCACAAAGTCTTCATATTTCACATAGTGATTGGTCATAACTAGTAGATGACCCCTATTGATTTTGGGGTCACTAGGTCAAAGGTCAAGGTCACAGGGGCCTTAAATGTAAAAATGGTTTCCGCTGATTATCTTGAAAAGTATGTATCACAAAGTCTTCATATTTCACACAGTGATTGGTCATAACTAGTAGATGACCCCTGTTGATTTTGGGGTCACTAGGTCAAAGGGCAAGGTCAAAGGGACCTTAAATGTCAAAATGGTTTCCACTGATTATCTTGAAAAGTAGGTATCACAAAGTCTTCATATTTCACACAGTGATTGGTCATAACTAGTAGATGACCCTTATTGATTTTGGGGTCACTAGGTCAAAGGTCAAGGTCACAGGGGCTTTAAATGTCAAAATGGTTTCCGCTGATTATCTTGAAAAGTATGTATCACAAAGTCTTCATATTTCACATAGTGATTGGTCATCACTAGTAGATGACCCCTATTGATTTTTGGGTCAAAGGTCAAGGTCACAGGGGCCTTAAATGTCAAAAGGGTTTCCGCTGATTATCTTGAAAAGTATTCATCACAAAGTCTTCATATTTCACACCTAGTTATTGGTCATAAGTAGTAGATGACCTCTATTGATTTAGGGGTCATTAGGTCAAAGGTCAATGTCACATGGGCCTTAAATGTCAAAATGGTTTTCGTTGATTTTTCCGTGATTGAACACTTCCATGTACCCTTTTTTGGCAATATTTGTGCCCCCACGTTAGTGGCGGGCATTTAGATTTACCCTTGTCCGTCCGTCCGTCCGTCCGTTCACTTTTGTGTCGCACGTAGCTCACAAAAAGTATTTGCCCTAGAGTCATGAAACTTTACAGGAATGTTGATCAGCATGTGTAGTTGTGCACCTGGGTATTTTCGTCTGGATATTTTTAGTATTTTCAGAGTTATTGCCCTTGACTTAGTAAAATTTTGCAATTTTCAACTTGTGTCGCATGTAACTCAAAAGTATTTGAACTAGACTCATGAAACTTTACAGGAATGTTGATCAGCATGTGTAGTTGTGCACCTTGGTATTTTCGTCTGGATATTTTTAGTATTTTCAGAGTTATTGCCCTTGACTTAGTAAAATTTTGCAATTTTCAACTTGTGTCGCATGTAACTCAAAAAGTATTTGACCTAGACTCATGAAACTTAACAGGAATGTTGATCAGCATGTGTAGTTGTGCACCTGGGTATTTTCGTGTGGATATTTTTAGTATTTTCAGAGTTATTGCCCTTGACTTAGTAAAATTTTGCAATTTTCAACTTGTGTCGCACGTAACTCAAAAAGTATTTGCCCTAGAGTCATGAAACTTTACAGGAATGTTGAACAGCATGTGTAGTTGTGCACCTGGGTATTTTCGTCTGGATATTTTTAGTATTTTTAGAGTTATTGCCCTTGACTTAGTAAAATTTTGCAATTTTCAACTTGTGTCGCATGTAACTCAAAAAGTATTTGACATAGACTCATGAAATTTTACAGGAATGTTGATCAGCATGTGTAGTTGTGCACCTGGGTATTTTCGTGTGGATATTTTTAGTTTTTTCAGAGTTATTGCCCTTGACTTAGTAAAATTTTGCCATTTTCAACATGTGTCGCATGTAACTCAAAAAATATTTGACCTAGAGTCATGTAACTTTACAGGAATATTGATCAGCATGTGCAGTTGTGCACCAGGTATTTTCGTCTGGATTTATTTAGAATTTTTAGAGTTATTGCCCTTCACTTAGAAAATTTTTGCAATTTTCAACTTGTGTCGCAAGTTACTCAAAAAGGATTTGACATAGTCATTAAACCTTATGGGCAGGTTGCTCAGCATATTTAGATTTGCACCTGGGGTTTGGCTTGTGGATTTATCCAGTATTTGTAGAGTTATTTCCCTTGACTTAGTAAAAAGATTGACAGAACAGTGGCGCGGTGGGGGCACCCGTGTCCTATGGACACATTTCTAGTTTGTAATAAAATTACCAATTATGTGAGTCAATGGCTAGAAAGGGGGGTATATGTGTCGTTCGACATTCTTGTTTTGTTTAGCATTTTGTATAAATTATAAGCATTTCCTACACAAGAGTTTTTGAACATCAAACATCTGAATTTTTTTAAAGTAAATTTACTACATTTCTTCAATCGACTTTTCAAGTTCCAATCTTTGGTACTGTCCATAAAATTGTCATGATGAAAGAACCTTGGTAGACTGCATGGATGCGCAGACTGGCTTAACTGTGTACTGGTAGCAAAAGCTGTAGTCACTTCGATTTTCACTATGTTAAGGGTTACACATAAAAAAATGAACAAGATTGCTTTGAAATCCTTTAAAGAAAAGCAGTATGAACTCTGCTATTATAAAAAATTCTTTTGAAAACGAATTATTGCCTACTCAAACTATTAAAAGCTGAATAACCTTAAGTTTGTTTAATAGACTTTCCTTGCCTTAAATTTAAAACAACCCATTAGTAGTATTCAGAGTTATCAATATTTTGCAGTAAACATTTTTTGGAGTAACTGGAATTTCAAAAGCAAATTTTGTGTGCAACATTATAATATAATAATATAAGTTGTATTTTAGCATGCATGTATATTATTTTTTAGACACTTTTGATGGTAAAAATGTTTATTTAGATATTTAAGTTTTTTTTAAGGGGGGTGGGGGTGTAGATAGATGGAGATAAGTTTGAAAAAGGGAAAGAATTTTGTGTGCAGATGAGACAGGAATTGGAGGGAGTAGAGTTAGATAAGCTGGAAAGATGACTTGTCAGACCTAACTTTCTTTCCCTGGTAGGTAAAATCCCCCTAAATCCCACCTACCCTTCCCTTGTACTAAATTTCTTAAGAAAAGAGTCAAGTGGGTTCAGAAGTGATGGACATGAAGATTGGATTACAAGTTTTTCATGACAGCTTTGAATTGTGCAATGATGTGATATAATGATTTAACAACATTATCACATATATAGGAGGTAATCATGTTATGTTTTTAGTGTATACACTATTTGACATAGGCAACAAATGGAGAGCAATGCATACCTGACTGACAAGTTACAAGTTTTTGTTGCATATAGACCCTTTCATTTAAGACCGTATTCAAGTTGTCGCCCTTGGATGACGTCCTTGGGGGATACGGTAGACAATGCCGATACGATTAAGTACAGTAATAGAGGGATATAAAGATCTTAATTCTTTCTCTTCTAAGATTTGCATATTGAAATTGCCAAAACTTTGTGTAATTGAATAAGATATAACATAAAAAGGATGGTGAAATGAATAAAAATGTTTACTATAATAAGGTTAAAGATTTGTTTTAATAGTAGACCATATTGCTGGGTAACTGATCATGATTACCATTTTCGTTAGATTCTTAATAATGAAAATTTTACCAGGCAGTTAAATCGTAATAACTTGCTAATACCAGAGATATAGATAATGTATCTATGTCTCTGCTAATATACAATACCCAAAAGATATTTTGAGTCTCAAAAATGTAAGGATTCTGTAGTTTCGAAAAACGGCTGCGTAATAATTAATTGCATACTGGTTTATTAAAAATAATTTTGATTTAAGCATTACTAAGACAAAGATAAACAGCAATATAAATATATGTAATTTCAACAAAAAAAATGTAAAGGCATAAAAAGTATAAATTATTTTGAATGTACATGACTGTATACTATTTGTGTCGGCAAAAAATGCACTCTCTAAAAATCGTACTTCACACTAGTGATGTTCCGATTGTCGCAAGTCGCTGATAATCAGTTACTGTTATGTAAAACGACAATAATCGATTCACAAAAAATTGTTCCGCGACGTCGTCGAAAATGTTTAAAGTATCAAAACGAATTAATTCTGGCGGTAATTTTCTTTTAGGAACACCTTGCCGATCGCAAAAAAATTATCTCAGAGACAATTTTGAGTTAAATAGGATCAATATGTGATGTAAACAATAGTAATATATTATGTGATGTGAATGTTATTATTTGACATCCATTGGAAAATTAAATCTATTTCGTAAAATAATAACTAAGTAGGGTTAAAACTGTGTTGAAAAGTGCTAAATAAAGTTCATGTTACAAAATAAAATCAAGTTCCTTGGGAAAAAATGTTTCTTCCCTATTTATTACATGCTTTTCGGTGGTTTATAGAAATATATCAGTGATATAAAATTGGTAATTTCACTGTTTGAAACAGTGAAATTACCACTTTGATAATTTCACTGTTTTGAATTTAAGCCCCTTATGTTGTTTCAGTGAAATACCAGCGTGTACAGTACTGGGTACCAACTTAATGACGTGACGTC